TGACCACCATCAGCTACCCAGATAACACATTATTTGTCTTTTAATCAAGATAAATGAAACCGAGGAGTCATAAATCTTTTTTCTCAATATTAAGATGAATATAAGGCTATGACTAATTAGAGGTCCTAATAGTTTTCTTCTTATACAGTTTTTCTATTAAATTTCTTTCAACATGAGCCAGATAATTATAAAATTGCTATATCTAGCAGAAGGCCAAGCAATTAGGACATCATCATAGACCTGAGCTGCTCAATTTTCATCTGAACAGACCCCATTTTACAAGGAGATATCCATCTGTAAGATGTTATTTCCACCTAAACATCTGAGTTTCATTAATGAAAAGAATCTTAGCAGCATAACCACAGACCAGGCACTTTCTGTGCCCTTTTATGTAGTATATGTATTATCATGTGTGATTTTCATACTCAGAGTTGAGTAACAAGCTCAGAAAGATTAACTGAAGGAGGGAGTAGGGCTGCGAAAAGCTGGCCACGGACCCAGGGTCCAGAGTGTTCTGGCTCGGAGAGAACGGGTATTGCCCGGGGCATCAATGGGCAGCCCCTGGATAAGGCCCTGACTGAGCACTGAGGACGCAGCCAGACAGTAGTGAGGTGGTCTCTGCCCAAGGCGACCTGTGTCGGAAAGTGAATGCAGGGACAGAGTGAAATCACAGGGTGAAAACAAGTGCCATCAAAGGGATGGAGCTGATGACTCCGGTGAGAACACCAGGCCCTGATGGAGTGGCGATGGGGGAGAAACAAAGGCAGAGCTGAGCTGGAATCCAAGTGAAGATGTTCCCACTAACTGCAGGCGAGACGGGAGACGTTCCAGTAGACGACAGTCAGTATGGAGAGGAGACAGCCACCATTTATTAAGCCCTTATTGGTTGCCAGGGACTGTGCCAAATGCTTTTTCATATATTTATCTTTATAAGAACTAGGGAAAGGAGACATTGCTATCCTCACATCACACATAAGGAAAATGACACAATTACTCAGTGGCAGAGCTGAGATTTGAATCCTGCTGCACTGAGCCCCAAGCCTGGACTCCTACTTGCTGAGGATCATTCTCAAAGCCCCACGGCTTCAAGGAAAAGCAGACATTAGAATATCTCAGTGAATCTGGTAAGTGGTACTTTAGTTCATTTTATTTATTTAACCCTCACCGGAAGATATTTTTTCCATTGCTTTTCAGAGAGAGTGAAAGGGAAAGAGAGAAAACCGTCGATGTGAGAGAGACACATCGATTGGTTGCCTCCTGCACGAGCCTTGACAAGGGCAGGGGATCAAGCCTGCAACAGAGGTACATGCGCTTGGCCAGAATCGAACCCAGGATCCTTCAGTCCACAGGCCAGCGCTCTTACTACTGAGCAAAACCAGCTAGGGCAATGCTACTTTATAATCCTGTGCCCAAAATTTTACTTATACAATTTTCAGATAACAGAGGTATATTAAATTAGGCAAAAATGGGAACACCATAGTCATCACTAAATCACCCCCGTATAAAATATAGTTTGTTGCATATCAGCACCTGAAAAGTAGGCTTGCTATTAAACAAGATTTGTTCCAAGATTTTAGCCCTTTGCAGTTGGAATTGAATTCTGTAGGTAAGAGGCCTTTTATTTTGGCCAATCCACAGCAGAACACCCTTGTGGACCACCTCTGATGAAGCTCGAAATTAATCTCTGGTTTGTAGGCACCAAAAGCAGCGCATGGAGGAGGGTGACACCTCCTCAGAAGTACCAAAGCTGAGAGGTTCTAAGGAGGAAAAAATGAGCTGAATACTGCTGACTGCAAATGCACCACTGCAGGAAAAAGGAAAAATGTATTTGAAACTGCAGAAAAGTTGTTTCCAGAACCTGCAGTCATGTCTCTGTTGTGCTTACATGTTCAGAGTCATTAAAGGGAAGCACCCAGACTTTTTCTGTGCTTCTAACCTGCTCACATATGCTAAATTTGCTATCAGTTAATCTTCAGGAATGAC